TCAGATATGTTAAGAAAAAAGATTGCTATAATCTTCTAGACTAATAAGGACCTTTTTCTTCTTGATACTTATGAAATTACTTAATGTATCTTATATATTACAGGCTTTGCGAAGATACTAATTAAACAAAACTTCAAGTCTCTGAAAGAAGAAATTCGCAAACTACAAATCACTTTGCTTTAAACTTTACTATCCATACTAGTTAATATATCAGAGAATATTAGAGTATGCCTAATATTCTCTTTGCCAATTGCAAATTGAAGAAACATACATGCAATAGTCACAGTATTTTATTGTATTTACACTTTTGAATGTCTACTAGATACTTATATTTTAAATACAAGAACACAACTATCTGCATATCTACACTTATTAAATATAGAAACTAGAAACATGTTTCTAATCACCTCTTGTGCAGAACTCAAAAACCTAAAGATATACAAACAACATCTTCAGAAATACTATTTGTTCCATACCATTCCTCTAGACTATTTCAGTATGCTATCACCACTGGTTAAAATTAGCAAAAATGTCACAAATTAGCAAATATTCAGCATACTATTCGACAACTATTTAGCAACTATTTAGTAAACATTCAGATGCTATTTGGTACAATTGCTGCCACTCAGTATTCACAAATGCTGAGTAGCAGCAATTGTACCAAACGGCATCCAAATATTTACTAAATAGTTGCTAAATGGTTACTGAATAGTATGCTGAATATTTGCTGATTTGTGATATTTTTGCTAATTTCAACTAGTACACCTAAACTACCCTTACTATTAATACTACAAGATCTGATTTCTAGACTTCATGCAATCTTTCCTTTCTATTCTAAAAATGCAGAATACTTCAAAGATTATATCTATCTGCTAAGACAAGAATATGTCTTCAAAACATTACTTAATAATTATCTCATCAGCAAAAGATGACTTCCTACTAATCCTACATCACTACCTTTCTCAGAACAGTTTTCTTTTCTAATAGAAGATAGTAATATAGTTAAACAATTCTTAAATACTATTCCTCACTACTATGCTATACCTAATCCTCTTTTATTAGTATATACCACAATTAATTATACAAACAAACCTGATCTTCAACAAGATCTAGAGCTAATCACAAAAGTAAACCTTATACTACTCATTTCTACTTCAAAGGAGCTTATAATTGCAGCAAGAGTATTTCGTAAATTTTATTATTTTTATGCAATACTATTAGAATAGATAAATAAACCTGAAAAACCTTCTAACTCACTTCTATCTAACAAGCAACTACTTAACTCTAATGAGGAAATAAATACCTTTATTTCTACTAAAGAACCACAATCTACTATTCATTTCCTAATTATAAATCAAGAAAATATTCTAGCAGCAATCCAGTTGCTTTAACAATATTTTGAATTTAACAACTTGTCAAATTTCATCTTTAGTATCTAAGATCTCCCTCCTCTTTAATAGGATCTCTTCGATAACCAATCTACAGATAATATTAATACAGATACAAACTCTATGATACTAGATGATGAAAAATTCTCTACTTATGAGTAACTCAATATATAAACCAAATCAGAGCATACTCAACAACAACATATCTAGCTATAACAATACCACTTCTATCCCATTAGAAAAAATAAGAATTGTTACATATAATATTTGGGACTGAATAATCTAACTAAACTACAACAATGGATCTTCTACTATGCAGAAGAAGATTTATACATTGTCTTAATTACAGAAACTAAACTAAAGTGATTTGACTAATTACTTACAAATCTATTATATAAAATCTTTACTTCTAATCATATTCCTACATCAACACAAAATAGAGAAGCAAGTCTTAGCACTACTTTAATAGTTCATAATTCTATTCAAAGCTATATTCATAATATTAGAACATATTTAGGAATAGCACTCTACTTAGATCTTTTTTTTTCAAATAACAACAAGTGCTATATTATATTAGTATACCTACTATCTAATCATCTGAAGCTTCTTACTCATATACAATAACAGATAAATCTATGAGCAACTGAAGCTAAAAGAAAGAACTGATATATTATAATTCTTGACAACTTCAATTCACATATTCTTTCTAACAAAAAACAATTTACTCTTTTAACTAATCTTTCTCATAATAATTATACTAGCCTTCTACAATTTCATAATATAACAATACCTACATAGCAAAGTAGTCACTCTAGTTTTCAAATTAATGACATTTGGATCTCACCAAATTTACTTTTAGATTTTGACCCTCTTAATCTAATTAACACAACTAGAATTTCAAATAGTAATCATATAATTATATATATGACCTGGTATATAAACTTTTTACCCTTTGCTTCTAGAAAAAAAAGGAAGATATATTTATATAACAAAATGATAACTGAAAACTAGGAAAAGTTTAGAAATAAAATAGATTCTATACTTCAATTCACAGTATAAAGCCCAAATATTGCAGATATTAGTACACTAAATAAGCATTGGTACAAGTGGTCAGCAGCTATTAAAGAAGCAACTAATATATATATTCCATCTATATTCACAAGACCCAAACTCCAATATACACTATTACTTAAAACTTCTAAACTACAAATAGCACTTAAGCATATTAACAAATACCTTCATAGTTTAGTTTCAACTTTACTATCCATTGATATAATATATTGGTTAATAACTTTTAACAAATATATCACAAAAGCAACTACACTATTTGGTATATCTATACTTCCTCTAATACCTATATCAATCAGCTTACTTGTTAATCCTGAATTCCAAATTTTATACTACAAGCAAATAATAAAAATTATAAGAGTTCTTAAAACAAATATATAGAAGAATTGTAATACAGAAAGAATTTTAGAACAATCTGAACATATTTAATATTATATTCAACATCGTCAGAATAACTTCAAAAATAACATAACACATATAATAAATAGTATTCTCAAACAGAATACAGATAGTGTTAATTTTGAAAAAATAATTTCTTCAGATGCTATTATTACAGATTACTGAAAAATTAAAGAAGCTACTCATTTGCACTTCCAAAACTAGACAAAGATTAACTCACTAAATAATGAGAAATAGAAAAACTAGAAATTCTACTATGCTCCAAAATTAAATATACAAAATAATATCTACTCACTCTTAATGACACCAATTACAATAGAAGAACTACTACTAGTGATCTAAGCTATACTACTACATAAAGCTACTGGACCTTTGGATATCTCAAATAAAATGCTACAACAGTTATCACAAAAAATATTGCTATATCTACTTAATATTCTAAATGCTTGTATACAACTAAAAAGCATACTAAACTAATAGTTAATATCAAATATCTAATTAATCTCAAAAAAGGCTTGCTATAATTTTAATCTAAATTATACTCAACTAATTACTCTAATTAATCATACTCATAAAGTCTTTACAAAAATACTTACTAACAGACTTACTAATATTCTTGATAAAAATAATATTCTCTTATTACAAAATTATGTAGCATTCCCTCTTCAATCAACTACTCAACCTATTTTACAACTAACAACAATTATTAAGTACATTTCTACTATACAAAAAGAAATTTAGCTCCTATTACAAGATATGTCAAAGGTATTTGACTCAATATATATATCTACTCTTACCAAAGTAATTGAACAAATAAAATTACTATTCTCCTTCATTAATATATTATTTTTTTTGTTCTCTAACTGATTTAACTATATTATTACTTCCTATGGTACTACAAATCAATACAATGTTCAAAACAGAATAGATCAGAATGAAATAATTTTTCTACTACTATGGAAGATATACTATGATCTTCTAATATTATGAATATATAAAGAATATACTAGCTATTCAAATACAATACTACTTCAACTAAATAATATACTAGTACATACCTCAGTTATGATATATATAGATGACTCCTTATGAGTAGTACTAACAAGATCTGAACTTCTACAAATCGTAGAAAAAGTAGAATTCTTCTATAGGTTTATTAGAATTAGAGTTAATTCTGCAAAATCCATTCTCGCAACTAACTCAATACTTGCAGAAAAACAATTAAACTCAATAATAAAATAATTACTGTGATAAAAAAAGATAAACTATTTTAAATATCTAGATACCTGGTTCTTATTATTATACAACCCTGCAAAAAAACAGAAAATTATAATCTCTGAAGCAAAATTAAGCCTCAACAAACTCCAATATGCACTTATAACTAAGAAACAAGCTATATATATAATTAATAATATAATAATCTCAAGAATTATCTATTTATTATATAATATCTTTTTATTATTCTCTCAACTTGCTTCACTTACTTGTTCATATACTAACATATACTGGTCAAAAATATAAAATTGACTATACCAAATATTAATAAAATTTAGCTTATATTCGTCTTAAAATCAGCTTCTAAATTTAAAAATCGATATCTAAAAATAAATATCAACCCAAAATCAGCAACTAAAATAAAAAATTGACTAACAAATAAAAATTTGATTAGGTCGAATTATAATAATATTCAGTATAAAATCAGTTCGAATTAAAAAAAATCATCTTCTAAAATAAAAATCAATATGAAATTAGCATAAAAAACTCAAATCGGCAATTATCTACAATTGACTACTAAATAAAATTCAGAATAAAATCAACTTGAAAATTAAAAAATTACTTTCTAAATAAAAAATTGACTGAAAAAAACTCAAATTGGCAATTATCTACAATCGACTACTAAATAAAATTTGGAATAAAAAATATAATACCCAATAAAGTTCTAAGTTTTCTATTAGTTCTTTAATAAATATAATCTTTTGGTTTTAAAAATAAACTTTAACTAATGAACTGCTATAGTGATATAACATTCTACTTTGACACTATTAGGAGTCTCTTTTTCATATCTTATATTATTTAGGGTATATTAAGAAAGCTATATCACTTGTAATATTTTGTATTTTCTAGCAGAAATATTAAAAATAATATCTATAAGATCTCTCTTTCACCCAAAGAAGCTTTTTTTTTTCTTCTTTGCTGATCTTTAAAACCAAAGAAGCTTCTCTTTTTTCTTTTTTGATAATCTCCATTTATGTTATACAAACTTTGAGAAAGACCTATTATACTCTAGCAATAATCTATATTATACAAAAAATGAAATATAATTATCTAAACCTAAGAATATTAAGTTAATATAATATAACTTTTACAAAAGTATATTGAGACCTAGAAGAGACTATATTTATAACTATTTGAAAAAGAGATCTGGCACCCATAGCTTAGTGGTTAAGCTGCCAACCCTTCATGGACAAGGTCAACGGTTCAAGACTGACTAGAGGCAAAAAATACTCTATAACCTTATTTAAAGAGTCAATAGTCGAATGTGAAGCCCTGTGAGAAGTCCAAGTGAAGTACGACGTTCGGAATAGGAATTATTGTATCTTGTGGAGAGGTGGCACTATGTATAATAGTCAGTATCACAGAAGTTGATTATACAGTAGTATGAAAAAATAAGTCCATATTGGCAAGAGTATGGCAGGAACCAACATCATTATGTGGTGTAACAGAATTGCTTAGGAGGGTTATACAATAATTAACTGAGTAGTGAAAGAAGCAGTAATTACACAGAATATAATTAAGTGATAAGATATTAGCCTTACTGAATATGAAACACCTCTGGCAAACACAAAAACTTAAAAGAGTAGGTTCCTGCTGCAGAGTAGATGATTCATATGCTGAGAATATGTAATAATCTGAAATAGCTAAAAGCACTGAGCTGGTAGTAGTAATACGACAAAGTATACAAGGGCGTACTAACATTAAACACTAACCTCTTCTGAAGAAAGCTGGAAGTAGTACTATGTATTACAAATCCAGTTAGGAGTAATCTTCGGATTACAAAATATAGCCTGTACTTACCAATATATAGGAGTTTTCAAAAAGGTATATGAACACAGCATATGAACACAACTCGACATATTGTAAGTGCTTTTGTGTCTTAGCATTGTGTAAATGTTGATAACAGATGCCTTTAAGCCAGAATACCTAATCAGGAAGTGACCATGAGGATTACGATGCCAAAATATCTATAATAGATGACCACCTATTGAGAAGTAGCTTTGTGCAAACATAGAAGATACAGGAAATATAATAAGAACCTTAAACAGATAAGTCATAGTGTAACAAAATCTAGAATAGTATAAATACAGGTTATAAAGTCTTAGTCAAGTATATCTCGAGGATAAATTAGTCCTAAGGTTGCATATTTAGT